AGAATGTTAGAAACAGTTCAAAGTAATAAGTGAATAATTTAATTGATTGAAAATTTCTTTTTCATATTGAAGAGTATATATTTAATATATGCCAATGTTTGTTATCATAGTCTTTAAATTGTAATATGCAAAATTTAATACTAGAGCAAAGAAGAAATGAAACGAAAACAATAAACAAAACATGTAATTTTTTAGGATAGTATTACAATATAACCTTTTCTCATTTTCAGTTTGAATAATAGAAAATGACTCTCAAATCAAATGACTTTAGTGTTTAGTAAAACTATTCAATTGTATTTGAATAAACACATTAAAACCTTTCAGAATAATATTTATATACAAAATTTCTTCTTTACTAATTTATTATTCTTAATTTAATTATATTCAACATGAGAATTTCTAATCTAAAATAATTTTGTAAGTTGATTTACTGTTTTTAATAACTTCAATATATGTTTTTTCATTTATAGTGTTGTTGTTCTTAACATTGTTGAGTTATCTTTCTAGTTTCATTATTAATTTAATGAGCTATTCACATTCCATTTTATAGATAAATGTTTAACATAAGTCATTTGATTATAAACATTCAAAATATAAAAATAGAACAAACAAAATTCAAGTTAAAAAGTATAATATTTAATATTATTATAAATAATAAAATAATAACTTTTATTAAATTAATAAGAAAAATTATAAATTAGAATGAAAGAATTTAAATATGATTAATAAATACTTTTTAATTAATTTAATAGTTTTATTTCTAATACTATTTTAGTTTTATTAGTTTTTCTTATATTTTGACAAAAATATTATTATTTCTTGTTTATTATTCCATTCTTTTATCAACAAAAGATATTGATGTAGTAAATTACTATAAATTATAGAACTTATCTTTAATAATAGTTATTGAAGTTATAGTATCTTTGTATCTGTAATGATATTTCATTGTGTTAATCAATTTTATTGAACCAATATTATACTCTATTATTTAATTTCTATTTCATAAATTATATTGAATCAGATGAAGATAAATGTCATATCATGATTGAAATACATTAACAATATTATCAATCTTTTGTTGAATAAAATAATATTGAATGATTACTTAATTTTATTTCTTTCATTTTTATTTCTAAAATTATTATATTCTTTTCTCAATCTTTTCTTGTTTATTATTTCATTCTTTAGATAATTCTCAAGAAAAATATTTAAAAACTAAAATAATTGATTTAGACTTATTGTTTTTTGTAGAATTTTAGTTACTTCTTTTTTAAATTCTTCTACTAACTTATCTATTGTATTAAATGTCTTTCCATTCCATTTAAATCCATCTTCTCCTAATAGAACAAATTGACTTGAAACTGTTTTTGTTCCTGGAATAAAACTAATTCTTATTTTGCCAATTTGTTGTTTAGAAACACTCAAGAAATAATTGAATACATTTGGTTGTGATGCTTTTAACTTAGATAATGCTGAGTCAACAAGATTATCATCAGCATTATATCTTCTGTGTTTTCGGAAATATGCTAAATATCCATTAATTAATCTGATATATCGTTCAAATAATTTCATATAACAAATATGTTATTATGCTTTGTGTTTAATATGAATCAAATCTTGTTATTCATTTACTCTGTTATTCTGATTGTTATCTCTCTTTTCTCTTTTTCTTATCTTTTCTCCTAATCTTCTTTTCTAACTTTGTCTTTTCTTTTTTAGTTTTCATGTTGAGATTTGTTTGAAATGAAAAGAAAGTGAAATAAATAATGAAGAACATGTCATCTATTATTGTTAATGGAATTACAACCAACTCAATCATTCTTGTCTGATGTTTATCTTTCTCATGATTATATTGACCTTATTAAAGAAAGGAATTATGTTTTTATTCAATCTCTTCATTCCCTTCCTTTTCCTGTTCAGAGAGAATTTGTTGCTCAACTCTTTTTATTAATTGGTGTTAAACAAAATGAAGACCTATTAAATCTCCCAGTAAACAAAGTAATAGAAAGAGTATTAATGTCTGAATCTCTTCTTGGAAATGAACTTCTTTATTTTCATTTTATTTCTTTATCACGTAATTTTCCTGACTTATTTCCTTCTTTTCTTTCTTCTTCATTACTTCCTGACTCTGTATTCAAAGTATTCACTTATCTTAAAATTGTTTGTTTTTATTTAATTATTGAAAAAAGTCTTATCAAATAGCTTGATTATTGGAAAGAGTTGATAGATGAAAGAATGACTCCATTTTGTAGAATAGTATTAAATGATCTTCTTACTCAATATAACATCATTCATTATCCGTCATTCAAACAAACCATTACATTCTTCAAATCATCAATTCTTGAAAATCGTTTATCAATTAAAATTCTTTTTTCAATCATTTATCAACTCATTCAAGAAAATCTCCTTTCAGTTTGTTTTTCATTTCTTTTTTTTCTTATGAAATTAATTGTTAGATCAACTTGTATTACCCACATACAACTTGTCTGTATGTTGTTGAGATGAATTAATCTTCTTCTATTTTTATCTTTTCTATTTATATGATATTGAGATGATAATTTTCCAGTTCTTCAATTTGAAAAATGAGCGAAGCCGAGAATCACCAAGTGCTGATTGAATGTGGGGTTTGTAATCATCCTATTAATGGAAAATACCCAATTTGTTGTGAGTGTTTAATGAAAGAATTAATTGACAATGAACAATATTATCGGTGTTTGAATGAAAGTAGTCAATACTCACAGAAATTGATTGTGGTACTTGAAAAAAATGAGGAAGAAATTGAACAAAAAATAAAGAAAGAGGAAGAAGTTGTCAAAATACTTGAAAAAGAAGTCAATGAATTAACAGAAGAACAAAAGACATTAGAAGAAAAGAAGAGAGGAATTACACAAATGAAAGAAATAGAAAAAGAAGTTATAAAAAAACATTTCATGGTGATGAATGAAATGAACAAAGAAACACAAGACATTAAAGAAGTGTTTGAACAAAATAAACCATATTGTGTTGAAGAAGTTGATTGTTGGAGAAATGTTTTCAACACCGAGTATGATAAAAATGGACCTATAATCAATGGGATTAATGTAATAGAATCGTTCAGAAGAGTTTGTAATCATTTTCAAGAAATAAAAATGAAGAGAAAATTCATAAAATAGAAAGATAACAAAAACATCAAAATTGGATTTTCATATATATTGTTAGAAATCAATAAAATAGCAGAAATGATTGATTATCATTCTAACCAATTTGCGATTGAACGAACAGCAGAAGCAATAACATTGATTAACAAACATGAAATTATTCGATGTAGTGATTTTACAACTCAAAAAGAAGAAAAAAGAAAACTAGAGAAAGGTTTAAAAAATATATTAACTTTAGTAAATGACATGGGAAGACATCTTTCAATAGAAACACAAAACAAATTTAAATTACCATTTTCCATTGAAGAAGAAGAAATTCAGAAAGTGAGTATTTATCCAGATGAAAAATTAGAAAGGTTTGGAATAGCATTGAAATTTTTAATGACAGACATCATGAGTATTCGATGTTATCATATGCTTATTGATAACTAATATGTGTAATTGATAGAAATGAACTATTTACTCTATCACTTTGTGTTTCTTTTCTATGAAATGTGAAGTTAGTATTTGGTAATTTACTTTTAGGTTTAGTTAAAATAGAAAAAAGAGACGAATTAAAAAAGCATAAGATTAAAAGGTCTGTAAGTAACAACTCAAGTAGTATGTTTTAGTTATTTTCATCATCAGAAATTAAATAATATAACAAATTACATTTGTTATGAAAAATAGAAATTAGAGAATAATAATATAATAATAGTATAATATAATAAAATAAAACGTCATCAAGAAAAGAATTTTTAAGAAAAAAAACTGAGTTTTATATAGTTATGGCTAATCTCACTATTAACACTGATGTATGTATTGGATGTGGAATGTGCACAAAAGAGTGTCCTTGTAGGGTATTAAAGGTTGAAGGTGGTAAAGCACTTGTTGATGAGAAACAATCTCCAAATTGTATGAGTTGTGGACATTGCCAGTCTATTTGTAAAGTTGGTGCAATTTCACTTTTTGAACAAAAATGTGAACCATTACCAGATGAACATACTTCAGTTATTGGAGCAATTAAGACAAGACGTTCTGTAAGAAAATGGAAAGGAGCAATTCCAAACGAAGAATTAAAAGAAATGATTAACCTTATTAAATTTGCACCATCTGCTTGTAATTATCGACCAATCAAATTTATGGTTATCAATAGACCAAAATTAACTGAGGTTCTTACTCATCTTGCTGGTCGTGCTGCTAACCTTGAAACAACTCCTGCAATTTTTAGACCAGTTTGTGCATATCAAGCCAAAGTTGATATTATTGGAAGAGATGCACCTCACATGATCATTGCATATGCTGATGATCAACACAAAGAATTTGCCAATGATGATGCAACAATCATGCTTGCAGAATTAGAGCTTGCACTTGTAAGCAAAGGGTATGGATCATTCTGGTGTGGATTTATGAAAGTGTTATTGAAAGATCCATATGCAATGGAATATATTGGACTTAAAGGTCAACATTGTTATGGATGTATGGGCATGGGTATTCCCAATATTACTTACCATCATCTTGTTGAAAGAAAGGATGTTGACATCACTTTCTTAGAATAAAACAAAAAATTCAATGACTTTTTTTTTAAATTTCTTTTCTTTTATAATAATAAAATAATTATCGAAAATTATTGAATTAATCAATTAAACTTATTTAATACTTGTTAATTATTCTCCATCGTAAGTGTAAATACTTTGATAGAATTGAAATGTTATTAATGAAAGAGAGTTTTAATTAGTTATATTCTAGTGACTGAATATGTTTTAAACAAATGAATATATTGTAAAAAGAGTAATTAGTTTTTTAATAATTTTCCTTGTTTCTGAGTTATAAAATATATTAATTAACATTTTAATATTATTTGTATTTATTTCGTTGGTTGTAATGGTATTTATCATAATTCTTATTATTTGATGCCAAAAGTTTTAATAAGATATTATTATTGTATTAAGGTTTTTTTGTGAGTCATTCTGTTTTATCAAGAATATAAATATTTCAAAATGTTTTTATAAATTCTTAAATGAATTTATAATGTCTTCATTTGTATATATTATTAAATAAAACCATTAAGTTAAACAAAAATAATTTTTGAATTAATCTAAATAGGCATCGAAAAAAAAGCAAATAATAGAAAATAAAGAAGAATAAGAATAAAATGAAAGATATAAAAGGAAAGAAGATAAAAAG